GGGTAAGACACCCCTCCAGAGTCATGATCAATCCAAGTTCCTAGGCCCGGGGGGGGCCGAAAACCTTTGGACCCCCAACGGGGCTGATGCCGCTAGTCCCGCCAAATGGTCCGCAGCAAAATTCGCCTCACGATGTACATGTTGGATTCGCACCTGCCAGTCCCTTTGAACCAATTCTTTAACAGCGCGATAAAATTCTGATTTTTAGCAATATATCTACAAGACCCACAATTAAGATTTAACAAAAATGACAAAATGATCCCTTATTAGTGTATTAGAACTTTGAATTCATAAGCCTTTAAAGACGAAAACATTATGGATTTTTTTTTTATAAAAAAAAAAAATCTTAAGTTGCAGACAAAAAAGTGAATGGAAAAGGGAGAGTGAACGTAAAACGTATTCCGTAAATACGTTTTCTTTTGTAAAAGAAAATGTGAAAAACGTATTTAGTGAATACGTTTTTTATCTAAATTATACTGAAAACGTATTTTGTAAATACGTACTTTTTATATTAGTTCACTGCCTTTTTTTTTTTTTGTTTTTTGTCCACTTATTATTTTTTTATAAATAAATATACAAATTACTCAAACATTATGAACAAGAAAAGATTAATAAGTCAACGAAGTCGTTATCACCTGATCAAAATTGTCTTTTCTTTTTTTTTTTAATTCCCTGAACATAAATGACGCGTCAATGGATCCATAATGGAATCGAAATTTCATGAAAACAACAAATTATTAATTTATTATTGTTTAATTACCCCTAATTTGTTTATAATTAGTTGAGAAAATATTTCCACCTAAAGGATTAAAAAATTAAATGAATTTTGTATTTAATACATAATACAATCAAACCTCTCAAATCACGCCATTAAAGTAGAGCACGCGTGTTTTTAATTGATTAAGGGTAGGGATGGCAATGGGTGACAAACTCGCTGGGGACCCCCCGTCACCCGTCCCCATTAGGGAAAATACCCCCGTCACCCGCCCCCATCACCCGTCGCGGGTCCAGATTTCCCTCAGACCCGGCACCCGTGTGGGTGACGGGTACCCATCGGGTGACACAGACCCAATGAATATAATAACTAACTCGAACGATCTAAATTAATTCATAAGAAGCAAAAAACATATATTGGGCCAAATTATATTGAAAAAATATATCTAGGGATTAGTAGTGTACATAATAACTTAAGTAGTGAAAATATAATTCATACACAAGTAGTGCAATAACTAGGGATAAACAAAATAAGGAAAGTGTTTAAATATTAAAAATAATTCATACACAAGTATGCATTAAGTTTTCTTGTATATTTAATAACTAGGGATAAACAAAATAATACACAAGTAGTTATTATATTCTATATTTAATTAAGTTTTCTTGAGATTGCCTCTTATTAGTTATATATCTAGGGATTAGTAGTGTTGTTGCCTGCTGAGTCTTTTCGGCTGGGCCAAAACATATATGGGGCAAATTATATCGGGTACATTATACCCATGGGTTAACGGGTATGGGGGGAGGGGGAACGGACCCATCCCTGCTAGACCCGATGGGGGGACTTTTTCCCCCATTAACAGATCCATGGGGCCAAATTATAGCCATACCCGGCTCCTAATGGAGTTTTTACCCATCGGGTTTCGGGTTTCGGGGGCCCATTGCCATCCCTAATTAAGGGTAAAAATTACATTCATTTTATTTTTTATTTTTTTTCTATGAAAACAAATAGATATGGTTTGACTTGGGAAATCAAAGAAATCACAATGGAAAAACCAAGAATAAAATAAAAAAAAAAAAA